GACAGCAATAGGATGAAATTCAATAGTGAGAAGTGTAAGGTTATGCATTTAGGGATTAATAACAAGAATTTTAGTTATAAGCTGGGGACACATCAGTTGGAAGTAACGGAGGAGGAGAAGGACCTCGGAGCCCTGGTTGATCATAGGATGACTATGAGCCGCCATTGTGACATGGCCGTGAAGTATTAGGCAGGGTATTTCCAGTAGAGATAAGGAGGTGTTAGTGCCATTATACAAGGCATTGGTGAGACCCCATTTGGAATACTGTGTGCAGTTCTGGTCTCCCATGTTTAAGAAGGATGAATTCAAACTGCAACAGGTACAAAGAAGGGCCACTAGGATGATCCGAGGAATGGAAAACCTGTCTTATGAAAGGAGACTCAAGGAACTTGGCTTGTTTACCTTAACCAAAAGAAGGCTGAGGGGGGACATGATTGCACTCTTTAAATATATTAGAGGGATAAATACCAGGGAGGGGGAGGAATTATTTAAGCTTAATACCAATGTGGACACAAGAACAAATGGATATAAGATGGCTAGTAGGAAGTTTAGACTTGAGATTAGACGAAGGTTTCTAACCATTAGAGGAGTGAGGTTCTGGAACGTCCTTCCAAGGGAAGTAGTGGGGGCAAAAGATCTATCTGGTTTCAAGATTAAACTAGATGGGTTTATGAAGGGGATGGTTTGATGAGATAACATGATCTTGGTAACTAATTGACCATTCATTATCAGTGGGAAATAGGTCAATGGAGGGATGATAGGAGTTACTATAGAGAACTTTCTGGGTGTCTGGCTGGTGCGACTTGCCCACATGCTCAGGGTTTAGCTGATCGCCATATTTGGGGCTGGGAAGGAATTTTCCTCCAGGGTAGATTGGCAGAGACCCTGGAGGTTTTTCGCCTTCTTCTGTAGCATGGGGTACAGATCACAGCTGGAGGATTCTCTGCATCTTGGTCTTCAAAGTATTTGAAGGCGTCAATATCTGAGATATAGGTGAGAGGATTATTCTGGGAGGGGTGGGTGAGATTCTGTGGCCTGCACTGTGCAGGGGGTCAGACTAGATGATCACAATGGTCCCTTCTGACCTCACTCTGAGTGTTTGCTATTTTTTTGTACAATTTCACCCAACTGAAATCAACTAAATTGGCTCAGGTTCTGCCTCCCTGGCCCCTCCCCCCACCATGTGTATCTGCCAGGGTGCTCCAGGACTAAAGCACATACATCAGATTGTAACTGGATCAGTATTTCCTGCCCACTGGTGGCTTTCCAGTCACTGCTCTCCATTCCTCCCAGTTAGGGTAGCTAGGTGTCTGTTTTCAAGCAGAGCACCTGATCAAAAGAACCCTGGGAGCTCCACTCAGCACCATGTAGCAGGTTGTTAAAAAGCCAGTTGGTGGCACAGGAGAGGTATGGATGTAAAACAGGCTCTTTACCTGCCTGGTTCTGCATGATTCCTGGAAGCAGCCATGAGGTCCCTCTGAGCTCCATGTGGTGACACTTCCCTGAGTATTAGTTCCCAGTCATCCGGACCTGGGCCCAATGGGAGCTGCAAGGGTAATGCCTGCTGCCACAAGGGCAGTATATAACCTAGTTGCACCTAGGGATCATAGCTGCAGTTTTATGGGTGTAGCCATGCCACAAAAATATAGGGGTCCAGTGTTTGTGTAAAAAGTATAAGCCTTCTGCAATATAATGTGCCATAGTGAACCCTGGCAGCCATCCTTCCTGAGTAGCAGGAAGGAACAGTCTAGTACCGTAGAGTGAGTGGGGAATGTGCGTATTTATAGAGAAATAAGTCTTACAGCTGCTTTAATGCCCAGATGACAAGCGCAGGGGCTGGAGACTCAAGCACCAAGCAACTATCAAATGTGCCCATTGCCTTGGCTGACCGAGGCAGGGAAGATTGATCACCTGGAAGTTAGAAGCGAGCACTCCCACCCTATGAGGGGGGGGGGGGGAGGGACACCCAGAAAAGTCATCAGCAGGCTGATGTTCATCAATACGAACAATTTCCAGATGAATGTTACAAAATGACAGCACCATGATGCAGCAAAATCCATAGCACATGTATAGAAAAGGGATTTATGAACCTTGCAGACAGGCCTGCCAACAGGGGGACAAAGAGGGTAAATGGCTTGGGGCCTGGCAATTTAGCTTCTTCCACCAAGACAATGAGCCCTGGTGGCGCACACTGCTGAAGGGCTGGCTGAGGAAAGCTGGTTTCCAGCCCTGTTCCTTCTGCCTTGGGTCCTGCTCCTTCTAGTGGCTCAGAGATGCCCTGCCCAAGGTCTGGTGAAACCTGTCATGCCATGAAGTGGTTTGTGCTGCAAGGCTGTACTATCCACAGTGAGCAAGAGGGACTCCAGTGGGAAATTGTATCTTCATGCTACCGTACCCTTTAACCAACATTTACTATTTCCTTTATATGTGTCTGTATTGAAGGTATATAAGCTATAGAGAGGAGAGCCATTTTCATGAAGGGAAACTAAATAAAGCCAGAAAGAGCATTTAAAAAATGCTGCTTCATTCAATACGTTCAGAATGAACAGTGAAATATTTTCAAATTCAGTTACTTAGAAAACCACTGGTCTTGCAAGTTATATGACAAAATACGCCCGGTAGAACTCATTCTGGGAAAACCCCAAAACAGCCAGGTGATTTGGACATCCCATCCAGACTTACATTTCTATGATTACTTACATTTCTGTGATTTTTGCATTGTCAGAAGTGGTTGGTCTTGAAGTGCTAATGTAGCTAAACTCCATCAACCGCTCTATCTCTCTCTCTCTCTTTACCTCTCCCTTGTGTGTGTGTATGTGTGTGTGTATGTGTATATATATATATATATATAAAAAAATAAAGAATGTGTGCTTCTGTCTGTCCCTGAGCCCATCTGTGAATCTGTTTGTTCAAGAACACCTCCTAAGCAACAAGAGCTAAGAACACCATATTTGGCATGAATCTTCCTCTTATCCCTAACTTACAGCAGAGTTGTGTCAGGAAAACAGGAACTGCCTGGGATGGAATTGTTTTCCATAACACAGAAAGGGAGGGGTCAGCGAGGTGGGATAGTTATACTCTACAATGACCATGGGGGGCAGAGAAAGTAATAGGTCATCCATATGGAACCAGTACGCTCCATAATGTTGGCCAGTGCCCACTGGTAAGTGGCTCCCCTTCATGGAACTCCTTCCCCAAGCCCTCACCCACACTGATTGAGGAGGGAAGCCCTGCTGGCAAGTGGCCCTGCTGCCACACCCCTGTCAAACACCACTGGGGACAGCACATGACCCGGGCCGTGCCCCACCTGCCAAGCAGTGTGGTCCCAGGTGCCCAGGGAGCTTCTGTCATGGGAGCAGCATGGTCCTCACTGCTGCACACAGCCCTACAGAGCCTCCCCAGACCTTGCAGCTCCTCGCCCTGACTCCAGCACCCTCCACCACATGCCCAGTGCCCCCATAAGTATCCTGGCAACACTGGGTAAATTCTCTGGTAATTTGATAATAGATTATGGAAAAAACCTTTGAAACATAAAAGCAGCCAAACAAACACATTGGCAGCAGCTATCTCTGCAGAGAACATGACGGTAGCTCGGAATGGTGTGAATTTCCTATTCATCTAAGTGGAATGACTTCCATGTCAAGTGATAGCGAGAGACAAGTCTAGGTATTAACTATTTCACGGTTGATCAAAGTAAGCTTGGCGCTCAAAGCAGCACATGGCCCCCACAGCCAAATGCTTTGAGTGGCATGTGGAGGTGCAGAAGGCAGGGATCCTGCCTCCGGGACCTGCTGGGCAGCTGGCCAGACCCTTCGGTAAGCACCTCCTGGCCAGAGCCTACACCTGGCACCCCAGTGTGTTCCTCTCCTCAACTTTCTGTTCTCCCTCCTCCACCTTGTCCCATGTCTCAACCCAAACCCTCTGCACCCCACTCCTATAGCCATAACCCCTCTCGCACCCTGCACCCAAATCTCCTGGCCCAGGTCAAATCCCAAATCCCTGCACCCACCTGTGCACCACTATCCAGAGCAAACCCCCTCCCCCCCGGGACCTGGACCCCAATCGCTTCTCCAGGTCACAACCTCCCCCTTCCCACAAACTCCCTCCCAGACTCCACATGCTCTCCAGCTCTCCATTCCCCAAACCCACACTCCCTTCTGCACCCATCCTCCATCCCATTCCCTTCACCTTCTCCATTCATATCATGGAAGAGTGTGGCCCTCGACCACTTACCAAATTCTTGGAGTGGCTCCTGATTAAACATGATTTCCCACCCCTGATATGAGATATTTGTATGACCCTGATTGCCAGACTATCTGAGCACCTCACAAAACTTCTCTGAAGCCTGCTTACCCACACTGGGCAGAGGAGAACTAAGGCACTGAGAGGCTAAATGACTTGCCCAAGGTCACACAGGGGGTAGAATAAAACATAGAATTGAACCAAGCTCGAATTCTAGGCTAGTATCTCTCTTTAGAGTGCCACTCTGTGGTACAGTGTGCCAGTTTTTACTCTGAAACTATGGGCAACATGCAGAGGAAGCAGACAGATGGCTCTCTGAAAACTTGTCCCAAGAGATGGTTTATATTTGGTTGGGATTTTTTTTCCTTACGTTTTTTTAGATTTTTTTAAAAACAAAAGTAGAAGTTCTGTTTCAATATTTCCCCCCTTTCTCTCCCTTTCCCCACTGGAAATGGCAATGAAAGTCAATTGCTTTTCAAGTCACAAAGGTGCTTTTGAACATATTATCCATCCTAATTAGCAACTGCAGGAAGACAGGCACTAGAATCAAAGTGGAGTCAGCTGGGTGGCAGCAAATGCTGAAGAGGGTTAATTGGAATCACCTGTGGTGAAGAACCCACAAATTTGCAGTCCCCACAGGATTTGCATTCTCTTATTGGTCAAGAAAGTGGAAGCCTTCTTTTCACTGGCTCCCTGAACTGTCAATCCTCAGTATTTCACCGCCTACACTCAAACCACAACATCACCAGGAGCCTATAAAATCTTGTCAGATAGTAAGTGGAGTAAGGCAGTGTCTGGAGTACTGAGAAAGGTTGGTATGGGACTTGCTGTAGTGGTGGGGTGTTGGCAGTAAGGGATTTGTAATCCGTTTTCTTTTGTTTCTACAATTCATTGGGTAAAGCTTGGCAGTTATGGTGATAAAAAAGTTTGGCTGTGGGGCTGTGTTTATGGTGGTAAGAAGCTGCAAGCAGCATGCAGGTTGGGAATCAGAATGTGGGATGCTTAATGTTTGCTGCACTTAAGCCCCTTTCCTCTAAGGGGTAGGCTCATGTTAAGTTTCTTTTTCATGCAGATAAGACAATTACTAGCTTTAGTAGTAACTACACACCTGAGTGCTTGCTTGCTTTAAACAAGCAGTGGCAATATCTCTGCTGACTAAAGAGTAAGCCTTCACCTAAAGGTGGGCTCCCTCTTAATCTATTGCTAGAGGGTCAAGAAATGGCTGCCCCACCAAGTGGGGCACTTCTCTTGTCTCTGGGTGTTGTAACTCTAGGAATAGCTACTGCTTGTAACTTAAGCCTCTTTTTACCTGCTTTCAGGCATATCTGACTAGACCATGACTTCTAATGGGCAAGACACAAATGTGGCATCCCCAGAGCATGGGGAGGAGCAGGTAGGTAATTCCTCTTAATCATTGCTGGTTCAACCTACAGCAGATAGTTAGGTGTCTAATTACAGGCTCCACACCTGCATATCTTGGCTTATAATTGTTTACTTAAGTGGATCTTGTGACTTGATTTTTCATCACTCTAATGGTATGAAAGCCTGAAGAAATGCTTCTAACATCACCCAATCTTCTGATACATTCACTTGTATAACCACATGACAAGTACTGAGTCAGCTCCAGGATAGGCTGTTGCTTCCCTGATTCCATTGTTTTCCCCTTTGTCTCACTAGAATGTCCTGAAGAGGGTGGCCAGTCTCCCTGTGGTCAGCGCTGCCTGTGATCTGGCTGCCACAACCTACACCTCCACTAAGGAGAGCCATCCCTATGTGAAGTCTCTCTGTGACATGGCCGAACAGGGAGTGACCTCCCTAACCAGTGTTGCAGCCAGCAGTGAACAGCCAGCTCCACCTGCACTTGAGCCTGAGGGTGAGTCAAGTGTATCCACAGAGCTCTCTGCATGTGAGACACCACATCCTGAAAGGAGGGTCTGAAGATCAGTGAGCCTGCAACCCTGAAGGGGCTAGCAGCAGTGGGAGTGATGTGACAGTAGGAATGACACAGCAGCCCATGGAGACATACATCCACCTGCTAGAGGATAATGAAGGGAGTTGCTTGCACCAGTTCCTCCTGCTGACCCTGTGCTTTTCTATGGTGTAGCTAGGCTATAAAAATTAGTGCTCAGCCACTTCCATTTCAGGAACAAAACCCTTTTAAAGGGGTCTAATTGCAAAAGGTGAGCTCGCTGCTCTGCAACAGAAGTTAGTGCTATATGGCACTGCCTCTGTACCAACACCAGTGCTATAACACTGCAAACTGAGTACTGAAAAATGGTGCACTAGCTTTTTGTTGGGCTATTGCCTGATGTGAATGCCAGTGGCAACTCTGACATGTTTCTGTCATGAGAGCAGGTCACTAAACTTATTGCGGCCAATTATTTATTGGGTGAATGGCTGAGTAGGAGATTTGGTTTAAAAGCTTCAAATCTGTAAGACTATGGAGGGAGACCCTTGTACAGACAGTCCCCGGGTTATGTACAAGATAGGGACTGTAGGTTTGTTCTTAAGTTGAATTTGTATGTGAGTCGGAACTGGTACATATTGTAGGGGAAACTCTAGCCAAACATTTCCCCAGAGCTCAGTTTTATTCTCCCACACCTCACTTCCCTCAGCCCTTTATTCTCAAGCTGAGGTGTCTGCTGAGAAAAGCCGCTCCGCATCTCCCTGGTCTGCTGGAGGGGGGCGCTAGCTTCGTCTCCCTGGTCTGCTGGGGGGGAAGCAGCTAGTGCGGGGTTGCCTCACCCCGTTTGTAAGTAGGGATCCGATGTAAGTCGGATCCATGTAACCCAGGGACTGCCTGTACTTAGTCCAGCTCTGCTAAATCCTGAGTGCACAAGCTTTAGTAGTAACATCACACCTGATGCCTTCTGTGGACCTTGAATAGGGATTACTTTCTAGAATCCCTCAAAATACTTGGGTGAGACTGAATTCTGCAGTAAGCATAGAGGTGATGGGAAAGTGCATTCTCATGCTAGTCCTAATTGTCTCGATTGGGTAACTCTCCATCTAGAGGAGGCATGATATTTGCTGGAAAGGAAAGCTCATAGCTTGGGGGAGAGGGTGAAAATAACCTTGCATGAAGGGGGGAGGCAAAACAACCCTGAAAATCCAGGTTCAATGCAAGTGTTGGTGTGCAGCACCTATAATCCAAATTGTTGCTGCCAAAACATATGACAGATGTGAGCCAGGTTGTATATTGTAGTAGTAAGATTTTTCCAATCAGGAAATAACATCCTGATGTGTCTCTGCAGAGGCAACAGGAATGGAGTCGGCTTCTGAAGTCCCAGAGCAAGTGGAGGAGACGCTACCAACCCTTCAGCAGACAGCTGAGAAGGTAACGCTCAGCACACAGTGACATGGCCAGGGTTCAGAGTATTCCTTTGCTTCCTCCAGCAGAGGCACACTCCATGCTAGAAGTGGAGGGAGGAAGTGTCTGTTACTCTGGTGTAGAGTGACTAGACCTTTTTTAAAAGGACAGTTCTGTAACTAAGCCCTCCAGTCCAGAACACTTGGCACCAAAGCCTCACTGCTCTGGCATAGGAAACCTTCACCATTAGCAAATTGCAGAGTGTAATGGGAGGGAGGCAATTTCCAATCTGTTTCTGGCCAATCCTAGAGGCTCCACCACAACCCTAGGTTGGGCACAGCACTCCATCTCCTCACCCTAGGGCCTGCCCCCATGGAGCACAGGACAGCTCCATCCTCTAAGCACATTCCTCTGCTTAACAATCTCTTTAGGTGGGTTTGCGAAAGCCTCTGCAGTTAGTTCTCTGGTGCACAGTGCATCCTTAGAGCTTAACCCCTTCCTGCCTGCACTATAGCAGGTGGACACAAGGTGGCTGTCAGTGGGCGGCAGCAGCAGTCTGCAAATGTAGCTGCTTTTTACATTGCTGCCAGAGAACAGACAAGCTGCTTTGAGATACAGAGGGGGAAGGGATGACCTCTGCAAGGACACAGGTCAGCTCATCCCATCCCATCCCTTCCCTCCTGTAGAGCAGAGAGGCTGCTGCTGGCAACATTCTGGTGTTAACCCTGGTGCAAGTCTGGGAAGGCAGCATGTGACTGCTTTCTCTAGTCTTTCTGACCATCTATAGACCTTTTATGTTCAAGGGTACACCACCAGTAGAAGCAAAAGCTAGCTTGGTGCTCTCCTGATTATCTGGGTGGCATTTGGCTCTTGCAAGCAGCTGCACAAGCAGGGAACACAAGCTAGGCATGAAAAAGCAGAAAGGGCTGGATAGTGAGACTCTGGTCAGGTGGCCATCACTCACACCCCTTCCCATGTGACAGGAGCATGGGAGTCTTCTCCCCATGTGCTCCTTATTCTAAAAGTTAAAATCCAGTTACAGAGCATTTCTTTAAGTAGAGACTTGGTCAGCTTGATTAAGCATTTGCACTGAATAGGTGAGATGACTCATGCAAGCTTGTTCAATGGCAACCAGGTTTTCTGTACTGAGCACAGGAGGAACATGGTCATCCTAGCAAGATGCAGTCCTTCTGCTGAAGGGTTAGGATCTGTGAGCCTGAGCCTATCCTGATTTGAATCCCTGGGTTGAGGTGACTTTATTGCCCAGAATTTGTAGTCAGTAATGTCTTGCTGGGTCCTTCTCTCTAGGCCATGTCTGACACACAGGAGCTGGTATCATCCAGACTGACAGATGTCAAGGAGAGCATGATCAGAGTGGTGGACATGACCAAGGAGGCCATGCAGGATGGTATGAAGACCACCAGATCAGTGGTAGCAGAGGGCATGAGCACTGTTGTGGAATCGAGAATGGGCCAACTGGCCATAAGTGGGATGGAAGCCATGCTGGAGAAGTCTGAAGAGCTCTTGGATCACTATCTTCCCATGACTGAGAATGAACTAGGTAAGAACATTGCAATAACTGGGCAATTGTCTTTGAAATCCCAGGGTAACCCTCCTCTTGGGCCAAACTTCTTTCTAGGCTTCTCAGTCTGTATGCCACCCACTACAGGCTTATCCTACAGCATTATCTTAACTCATGCCTCACCTTTGAGAGATGGCATGTAGTCAGTTAATACAGCTTGCCCAACAAATGGGAATGGGTGGTACTGGAAAGAATAGAATTAGCATCAGACATGGTGGGGGTAATACACATGATTTGAATAGCTGTATAGAAGGGTACAGGTTGCTCAGGAGGATAGGCAGGGGAAAAAGACGATGTTGCCTTGTATATTCACTGATGTGTTAACCTCAGGATTAGGCTAAAAGGGGTAAAAACAGTCATGTTGAGGGTCTACTACAGACCACTGAATCAGAAGGAGGTGGCTGAGGCTTTAAAAACCAATTCATGAAGCACAGACTTTAGCAGTGATGGCCTTAAACTACCCAGGCAGCTGTTGGGGAAACCAACACAACAGGGCTCAGATTGTCCAATAAGCTCTTGGAACGCATTGGAGATGCCTTCTTTCAGAAGGCGGAGCAAGCTACTGCTGCAGAATCGCTTCTGGATTTGACTTTTTTTTAACTGGTGGAGACTTTCAAAGTGGAAGGCAGCTTGGAAGAAAGTGGTCACGAAACCATAGAGTACACAAATCTAAAATGGTAGAAGAGAACAGCTACATAAGACAATGACTACCGGCTCTAAGCTAAGGAATTTAAGGTCCCATGGGAAGCAAGACCGAGAGGAGGGAAAACAACTCAATTGCCTGTCGAAACTACCAACTGCTTTAAGGGTGCAAGAGAATTTCACTGTGTAGAAGTATGGCAAGAGACCACCTCAGCTGAAACAGGAGATCTAAAATCTTAGTCAGAATTGGAAACTAGATCTTATTACAAAGGATGAAAATAAGCAAAACAGCATGTGGGGCAAAAGCACACAGCAATCTAGCTATAGAGACACATTGTAATCTAACCTACAAATATAAGAAGCGGGAGGGACTAAAGACAGACACTTTGCTCAGAGGGAGGAACAGAAAATGTGGAAATGAGGTGCTAAAGGAGATTGGTAGTGACAGGATGCCTAATGTAATGACTAGTAGTAATGGGATAGATTCTGAAGTTAAAATAGGAAAGCACAAGCTAAAAAGTACTTAGGCACTGGTGACTTGAAGCTAACTTGTCTGTCTGTCTGGAATGAATACTAAAGGAGCTAATATCGCCCACCTCTATCATCCCTGGAAGTCATTCTAGAAGCCTGGGACAGGGCAAATGTCCCTTTATGGATGGGCACTGTAAAGACATCTCTGACTACAGACTAGTCAGATTATCTTCCATGGCACAGAAGTTAATGGAGCAAACAGTTAAGGGGTTCACTTGCAAACATCAGGAAGACCAAGTGATAGGTGATAATGACCATGGACTTGTCAAGAACAAATTCTGTTAAATCAATCTGGCTTTATTTACGAAGATAAAAAGCCTTGTGGACAAAGAGGGCTGTGGTATACCTAGAGTTTAAGGTCATGTGAGACTATCAAATGCTTTATCAGTAAACTAGGGAAATCCAGCCTAGGTAGAGTGACTAAGGTAGCTACATAACTGACTAGAGAGCCATTTTCAAATTATTAATCCTTCAGTCATGCTCAGAACAGCATAAGTGGGATTCTGCAGGGGCAGTTTGGGGACTGGTTCTCATCTTCATTTAAATACTGGCATACAGAATACACAAAGGTCCCAGCTGGCTGCATCTGGGACAAGTTGCAAGTCGTTGTCACTGGGACAGGGTCAAAATTCAAAATCATCTTTACTTCAGACCATTTCTCCAGATCAAGTAGACTAAAGAAATGCATACACCATTTAGGAAGGAATAATCAGTTTCAAACATACAGAATGGGAAAGGATTGTGTGGGGGGAGTACTGAAGAAAGGGATCTTGGAGTCATAGTGGGGGACAAACTGAGTCAGTGTGACATGTCTGCAAAAAAGCAAACCTGATTCTGGGCTGTATAATGAGCAAGACATGAGAAGTAGCTTTTCCAGTCTACTCTATTAGGCTTCAGCTGTAGTATTGTGTTCAGTTCTGGGCACCACACTTCAGGGAAGATGTGGTGATATTGGAGAAGGTCCAGAGAAGAGCAACTAATGATTAAAGGGCCAGAAAACATGACCTATAAGGAAGACTGAGAAGTGAGTTTTTTGGAAAAGAGACTAAAGGGACATGACAGCAGTACCTACAAGGAGGAGGGTGGGAAAACTATTCTCAACCTCTGGGAGGCTCCATTGATGATTTCTTGTCCTACCAGAATTTGAGGTAGGATTAGGAAGTTTTGCTTGCACTCCTTTTCCCCAACCCAACTCTAAAGCGAGCAACCTTCTTTCTTCCCTCTAGCGGAACTTGCGGAATCCGTGGAAGGGGCTGAAGTGTCTGCGGCACAACCACAAGAGCATCGCAGCTACTTTGTGCGTCTGGGTTCCCTGTCCACCAAACTCCGCCAGCGCGCCTACCGCTATTCCCTGGACAAGATGAGACGCACCAGCCACAGCATCAGTGAGGCGCTTTCCCAGCTTCAACAAACCATGGGACTGGTAAGAATTCACCAACCTCTTGAGACTGAACTCCTCTGACAAATACAGAAAGCAGCTGGTGGCACTGATTCCCTTTCCCTCTTCTCATGCTCCTCTTAGAGCAGGGAATCCTTGCAGACTAGGGTACAATGAGGTTTAATGTCAGTTAAGTCTTTATAATATATTTTTGTTGCATTGAACTTACCACTGAGCATTAGACATACCCTAGACAGTAGAACCAGAATAATGGATGTGCAAAGACATACTGATGTGTGGTGTTTGACTATACTTAACCCACATGTAGATTGAATACATCAAGCAAGGTGTCAAACTTCAAGATGTCCAGGAGAAGTTCCAGCACATGTGGCTGAACTGGAACAGAAATCCTCCACAAGGCACAGAGATGACAGACTTGGCCAACCCTGAGGTATGTACATTGCTTGTCTGTCTGGTCAGATTAGCTAGTATTCTAGTCCATGTGTGGGGGAGGAGGGGTTATTGGCACTTAAGCAAAGACTAACTTGGTTGATCACTAGGATTTTTTTAAAGTTTGACAATGCTATCCTCTCAAACATAACTGGAAGACTTGCTTTTTGCTTGGGTATCCTTAAGTGTCTGATGCCTTGTGTGGGGGAACACTAACACGAGTCACCTTCTATCTTCCCCACCAGATGGAGTCTGAGACTCTGGCCATGTCCCGCAGCATTCTCCAGCAGCTGCAGGATGCCTGCCGAGTGCTAGTATCCAGCATTCAAGGTCTCCCCACCAACCTTCAGGACAAGGTGCAACAGGTGTCTCGCAATGTGGGAGAGCTCCATGCTTCCTTCTCCACTGCCCATTCCTTCCAGGATCTCTCCAGCAGCCTCCTGACCCAGAGCCAGGAGATGGTGACCAAGGCCCAGGAATATGTGGATGAGCTGATGGCATATGTGATGCAGAATACACCTCTGTCTTGGATTGTGGGACCCTTTGCCCCATCAGGGAAGGGCTCTGCAGATTCCCTGGAACCACAAAATCAGGAAACTGAAACTAAGAAGGCAGAAGTTGTAACAGCATCAAAGTCTGAGGATTCATGAGCTGAAAACACAATTTCAACTTGGAAGCCTGAGGGCAGACTTCCTCACTGTTCATCTCCTCTACTTTAATTTGTACTAGTCTATTTACACTTTGCTAGTACTAGTAGCTGCTGTAGTAGTAGCTGCTGTACCGAGATCTAACTCCTGGCAGCAACAAATCACTCCATCTAGAAAGGGATATGACTAATCTACTTCAACTGGCTACCTGTTCTGTGTCGTGGTTGACATGAGAAATCAGAGGGAAGCATTGTAACAGTGGTTGAAGGATCTCATAGGTGAAAGGTTATGCTAGTCTGACTATTAGTATGTAGAGTTTGTACTTCAAAATAAAATGTCACTGCATTTTGAACATTGTGCTTGTCATGTCTAGTAGATGCCACCTACTATAGGCCTGTACTCCTCTGCCAGCAACTAGTCCTGTTTCTCACTAGCCACCACCACAATAGTGGCAGTAACTTCTAAATAGCTATAGATCTACTACTGCCCTGTAAGTATAGATAGATGTTACATTACCCTTATTGCACATGCTCTCTCCCCAGGTCGTCTTAGAAGTGCACTTGTCTCTTCAGGTAGCAATGTGTGGGGAGGGGGAGAATGGTGCAGCTGATCAAAATTCCTGCCACCATTCTAGCACTGGTTGGCAAGGTACTATGTGGGTGGTTCTAATGCAGGGGCACAAGGGACGGAGGGGCAGTCTTTAGAACATGGTTGGCAGAGGCTTTTGGGTATAGGTGTCTCAGCATATGAAATACTGGTGACTGATAAGGCACATACCTGTCATAGTATGAACACCTACAAAATCAGTTGGTGTCAGTATCAAAGCTGTGTAGGTTTGCACATCAAGCATTTGTGTCTCTCTCAAGATTTTACAGGGAGCCATATCCATTGTGCACAGTGGCTCTTCTCACCTGAATACTCCACATAGCTGCATTAGTCTATGCTTTTTTTCCCCACTGGCTCAGATGCCCCCTTACAAGGAAGGGAGTAGGAGCCCCCATAGCCTCGATTGTAACAATAGTCATACAGAAATCAAAGCTTAGGCCATCAAAGGAAGATGGCAGTCTGAGGACAATTTCAGCTGCTTGTACCACAGCTGAAGAACACCATGGTCTCTCGTTCTGGGATCTTGAGGTGCTGAGTAGAGCAATGCTTGAAAACTGAGTGACTCTAAAGGAACTCATGCTTCAAGCTAACCCACTATGCCAGACTTGAGCATGCTGTAATGACAGCTTATCTAGCTGTTGTAGATCCTAGCAGATTCTCTTATAAATCTCCTAAACCACCCCATAGAGAAAATTGTTCCTGAAGTGCTAAGGCCAGTGTGAGTATTCTCTACAGTGGGAAGGAAGATGTAGCTTATTCAACACAGTCTGATATCATTTATACCGCTTCCCAGCTGAAATCAGCTATATTGACTCAGGATGCTCCCCAATACATGTGAGGCTGCAGGGGTGCTCCAGGGCTAAAGCACATTGGCTGAATCTAGAATGGCAAGTTTTTCCGCAATTGCTTTTGCGGAAAAACTTGCCAGCTGTCTACACTGGCCACTCGAATTTCTAGAAGAACACTGATCTCATGTTAATGTTCTTGCAGAAATGCTATGCTGCTCCTGTTTGGGCAAAAGCCCTCTTGGGCAAAAGCATTTGTGCAAGAGGGCCACTGTAGACAATGTGGTATTCTTTTGCACAAAGATGCCCAGATTGCCATTTTCACAATTGGGGCTTTCTTGCACAACCATGTCTAGATTGGCATGGATGCTTTTCTGCAAAAAGTGCTTTTGTGGAAAAGCATCCGTGCCAATCTACACGCTCTTTTCCAAAAATGTTTTTAACAAACTTTTCCATTAAAAGCACTTGTGGAAAATCATGCCAGTCTAGATGTAGCCATCCAGTTATGACCTATTAGTGCCTCCTGCCCACTGCTGTCCTCCATTCCTTCCAGTTAGGGTAGTCTGGTGTCTTCAAACAGCACATCTGATCAAAAAGAACCCTGGAAGGTCCACTCAGCACCACTGAGCAGGTTGTTTAAAAATCCAGCAGGTGGCAGAGGAGATGTCTGGGCCTAAGGCAAGCTCCTTACCTGCCTCTACATGATTCCTGGAAGCAGCTGCCAGGTCCCTCTGTGGTGCACTTTCCTCAAGTGTCAGCTGAACAGTGGTGAAGAACTGGGACCAATTAGAGCCTCAGGTGCAAGTGGACTGTCCCTATGGCTCACAGGGAGAGAGCCACAGCTTTCTGGGTGTAACCATGCAGCAAAAATGCAGGAAGCCAGTGTTTGTGTAAAAAGTCTTATGCAATGTAATGTGCCTTACTGTATTCTGTCAGCCACCTTTCCTGACTAGCAGGAAGGAATAGCCTAGTGTTGGTAAAGATGCATCATGCAGGCTGTGTCCATTACTGGTGTGAAGCCATGAACAGACCAGAAGAGTCAGTGACTCATTAAAGTCATCCTTTTATCCTTTAGGACTGTTCTCTTTGAGTATAAGAATGTCTTTTGCATTATGGAAAAATTTTAGTAGTTACTTTAATATTGGAATGTCTTGTACTAGGCATGTACTTGCAAAAGCAACAATATAACTCTCTTTTGAGTGAGAAATGTGGATTTTTAAAGAGAAATAAGCCTGAAGGCTACCTTAGCATCCAGATGGCATGAGGGGAGGCTGTAGACTCAGATGCACCAAAGAACTTTCAGATGTGCCTCTTGTATTGGCTGGCTGAGGAGGGGAAGATTGAGGACCTTGAAGTTAGAAGCAAGGACTTGCAATGTGTGAAGATAACACATCCCATCAAAATCAGCACAGGGCAGCACTTGGAAAAATCAGCAGCAGCCTGATGTGAAACAATAGAAACCATTTCCCGATAAACCTACATTGCAATACAACTACACCATGATGCAGTGCAATCCATAAGTATAAAAGGAATTTCTATAAAAGGGGGGGGGGTGCCTTGCCATAAAGCCTTGGGTACATCATGCCAAACAACAGCCACAATCACAACCGGCAGAACCTGACTCTTCCACTTAGGCCCAATATGTCTGGCTATTAGTTTGGTCCAAGCCACAGATTGGTAACTGTAACAATGTCAGCAGGACTGTTGCATATGAAAGAATGTGTATTTTTATTTTGTATTCTCAATAAATGTGGTGTAGTGCCTTTCCCCCTAAAAAGATTCCATGTGCTTTTTATAAGCCTTACATGGGTGCTGTGGTAAGTACTGCCAGGACCCCAAACTCTCTGCCCCAGCCTGGAGTCCCTGCCTATACTCTGAACCCCTCGTTTCTGGCTCCACCTGGAGCCTGCATCCCTAGCCAGTGTCCTCATGCCCCAGCCCACAGCTCTTTGCACACCCTGCAACCTTCATTTCTGGACCATGCTTGAGACACACCACAGAGTGCACCCACTCCCCCGCCAGAGCCCTCAAACAGCCCAACTCCTGCCCCAGCCGAGTGAAAGTGAGTGAAGGTGGGGAAGGGTTAGCAATTAAGGGAGGTGGGATGGATCTATCACGAGGCAAGGCCTTGGAGAACGGGCAGGGCATGGGCAGACCTTCAGGGGAGAAGTGGAGCAGCAAGCAGGGCAGGGATGTTGGGTTTTGTGCAGATGGAAGGTGAGCAATGGTATCTTCCCCCCCCTGCCTGCTGAAGGTCAGTTGTGTGGGAAGGGGAAGAGCAAGGGTGAAGTGTACAATGGGGAGAGGATGGAATGGGGTAAAGCCAGGAATAGGCAGAGAAGGGGTCAAGCCCCTCCTGTGACTTAATAAAATGGCACCTCTGGCACTGTGGTTTTTGGTAGCACAGCATTCTGTGCCAACAATACTAGACTAAGGCAGGGATTTATGAACCCTGCAGACAAATTCAGTTACTTGGAAAATTACATCTTGCAAGTTATATGACAAAATACGCCTGGTAGGACTCATTCTGGGAAACCCCCCAAGCAGCCAGCGGATTTGGGCATCCCATCCAGACTTATGTTTCTGTGATTTTTGCATGATCCAAGGTGGCTGGTCTTGAGGTGATAATGTAGCTAATCTCCATCAAAATCTCTATATCTATATTAGAAATGTGCATTTTTCTGACTGTCCATGAGACTGTCCATCTGTGAGTCTTTGTAGCCATGTAGAATACAAACATTTATTTTTAAATGGCAGCTGAGATTGATCTAACCACATGACGGGGCTTCAGGCATGTTGCTCTTGTGTCTCCATCTCACTCTGCTCATGCCCAGGGTGTGTCTGAACCTTCCTGAGAGGGGCCCAAGGCCAAAGACCCCAGCAGAGCAAGCGCGCTCCCGTCCTGAGCACCTGCACTGTCCGCTCTGAGTAGTACCTCACACAGGCAGGGCTTGGATCGTGGGCAATCCCAACAGGAGAGCAATGAAGGAGTGACAGAAGTAAACAGTCTTCTCCCTCCCATTCCTTTAAGGGAATGCATCCAACTTTTTTTCTGAGTGGGGGCTGAAAGAGGAGAGAGGGAAGCTATTCCAGTCACAATGCCCAACTCTTGTTCTCAAATAAAATGCTTTATTATCTATCTAAGGCAAGGGAGGGCATTTGGCCCAGCACCTCCCTCCCCTAAATCTGCTACATCGCTCTCCTGCACCTTTACCCCAGGTCTCTACCCAAAGCCTCTACACCCCTGCTCCTGCACCCATACCTCCTCCCAGACTCTACACACAAATCCCTCGTGCCAGGTCACAACCCAAACCCCTGCACTCACTTAGGCTCCCCTACCCCAGGTCACAAGACCCCCTGGATCCTACATCTCCTCCTTGCATCCCAATCCTTGCCCTAGGTCACAACACTGTTCTTCACCCACAGTCCTTCAGGCCCATGACTCTCTGCAACCTTGCCCCCAGAGATGGTTTATATTTGGTTGGTTTTTAAAAGATTTTTAGGTTTTTCAAAACAGAAGTAGAAGTTCTGTTTCAATATTCTCCTCTTTTCTCTCCCTTTTCCCATTGGATGTGACAGTGAATGTCAATGGCTGTTTAAGTCACAAAGGTGCTTTTGAAAATTTTGTACATGCTAACTAATAACTGTATCAAGGCAGGCTGTGGAATCAAAGTGAGTTCAGCTGGGTGACAGCAAAAGACTCAGTGGGATTAATTGGAATCACCTGTGGTGAAGAACTCACTCCCAAACTTTGCAGTCCCCAAGGGATTTGCATTCTCTTACTGGTCAGGGAAGCAGAAGCCGTCTTTTCACAGGCTCCCTGAACTGTCAATCCTCAGTGTTACATCCCTTACACGCAAACCAGGGAGTA